GGCTCAAGGTGTAGCCCCTGAGTTCAAATACAGAGCAGGGTGCAGGAAGAAAATAGAGGGTTTTTTTGTTTAGGTTTTGGTGGCAATGGGGTTTGAACTTAGAGCCTTGTGCTTGCCAGGCAGGCGCTCTACCACTTAAGCCACACTCCCAGCCCTTTTTACTTTAAGATATTTTTCAGATAGGGTCTCGAATTTTTGCTCCACCTGGTGTAGAACTGGGATGGTCCTACCTCTGCCTCCTGAGTAGCTGGGATTACATATGTGTATCACCATCCCTGCCCACCCCAACCCCCCAAGAAATCTTTTAACTTAGGATATGGCTTCAATTTCAGATGTCAACCAGCTGACTCTCAACCAACCAGGACCAGAACCAGGAGACCTGGGTTCTGTGCTGGCTGTCACAGGCTCACGGTGTGACCTTAGTCAAGTAGCTTCCCATCTCTGGCCTCGGGTTCTCATGTGCAGTATGAGGTTGGTCTGAGGGGTCCACATTTGAGAAGTGTCACCTCTGGGCTGAGGTTGTTGGAGAGCCTGCAGCCTGGCTGAGTGGAACACAGCTCATGATCATGGAGAGAGAGAATACTGCTGGGCAAGAGACCAAATTCTCTGGGACGACTTAGTGCCAGAGAACAGTTTAAGAACTGTTTTTCACCCTCTGTGTCTGACCTTAACATCGTTGTGACTATTAGGTAAAACTCTGGGAATTCGTTGTTGTTGCTGTTTTACTTTTCGAGATAGGATCTCACTCTGCTGGACACGAACTTGTGATCCTCCCGCCTTAGCCTCCTATGTGCTGCAATTACAGGCATGCACCACCATGCCCAGCTTCCTGGGAATGTATTGCTTAGCTTAGCAGACCTCTAGCCTCCACCCCTAAAACTAAAACTTCTTTATAAGACAACCCCTGAGACCTATAAAAATTTCCCCACCGTGATGAGAATGGTCTCCCTGATGCTCCCATTAATTGATAAATGTATTAATTTGTGACCTTTGTTCTGTAGCTATTAAGTTTATGTAATCTCTTTCACAGGGGAACATTTATCATCGTGGTAACTTAAATCAGGGTTCAAGACCATGGCCACTCATATTTGGGTCAATATAAATAGCTTTTTTGCTCTTTTTGAGACAGGGTCTCCCTTTGTATCCCAGGCTGGCCTCCTGTCTCAGCCTCTCCAGTGCTAGAATTACAGGCGTGTGTCATCGCACCTGGTTGTCTTCTCGTTTCCTTAAAACATTGCTATTTTATGATGAAAAACTCCTATGATGACACTCTGGTCATCAAGATAGGCTATCTTGCTTATCAAAGATGCCATGCTCACTCTAGAGCAGTTAGTGTCATGGGAAGAGAGTGGTGGGAGACCAGACTGGGGAAGGTGGCCAGGGTCAGGTGAGGAGAATGGGAGGAGGAGGAAGGGGGAAGTTAGAGGGTCCTGCCTGAGTACTCTGTTCCCTGTGAACGCACATCTGTACACACGCGTATGTATGCAGGGTGGGTATGTCCACGCCCTCTGTGTGTAAAGAACACCTGTGTGTGTGCTTTAACCAGACACATGCATTTCTGTGAGTGGGTAGTTACCTGTTGGAATGCTGTATGCAGGTGGGGCCAGTTTGTGAGGTCAGAATGTGTGCACGGCATGCATGCACTGTGGGTCCTGTTTCTGACTGCCCGGGGCCCTGGGGGAGCCAGGGCCGGTCTGTGACCTCTATGGACAAGAAGCTGATTTCCCATCCCAGGAGGCCCCTCTGCCCCTTTGCCCCTGGAGGCTGCAGCTGAGCCCCCCAGGAGGAGCACAAGCGCTATCAGGGAGACGGCAGACGGCATGCAATGAGACTTGGCTGTGGCACAGGGCTGGAGCTTTGGAGACCTTTCTTGAGGTTCTTGGCCAAAGGAGCAGGGAGCTTGAGTTTAAAAACAAACAGTGGAGAAACAACCCAGGTGGCCAATTGCATCCTGGGTGGCAGGCGTGAGGTACCCCCAGGAGCCAGGCTTCAGTTCAGCATGTCCAGGCAGAGTGACCTATTAGAACTCAGGTGTCCCTGTGGGTCTCAGAAACCCCAGCCAGCGCCCAGCACCCAGCTTTACAGCTACCCTCATGCTTACAGAGCCTCTGCCTCCAACTCTACCCCACTCTCCTGAGTGCGCATGGAGGACAGCCTGTGACTGCTGTCACTTTATACCTTAGGTTTCCATTTCTGCCTGGTCACCCTCAGTGGTCTGGACCACTGCAGCCATCTCTTGCCTGCCCACCCTCCCAGGGCCACTGTTCCAAGTCCCTCCCTGCTGAATGGCTTCCCTCCTGGCTGCATTCACACAGTCCTGGGCCAGCTCTCTCTGACCCTCCTGTGTGGCTCCCCCTGTCCTGTGAGGGTGTCACAGGCAGGGTCATGCTCTTTCTGAACTTTTTTAGCTTAGTCCTGGAACTCCAAAAGCATTTGTTAAATGAAAGAATGAATGAAGCCAGGTGCTAGTGACTCCTGCCTCTAATCCTAGTTACTTGGGAGGCTGAGATTGGGAGGATCATTGTTGGAGGCCAGCTTGGGCAAATAATTCATGAGACCTCATCTTCAAAATAACCTGAGTAAAATGGACTGGAGGTATGGCTCAAGTGGTAGAACACCCACTTTGCAAGCGCAAAGCCATGAGTTCAAACCCCAGTCCCACCAAAAAAAAACCAGTAAAAAAACCCCATGAATGAAGGCTGATACCTCAGGGTGGACCATATGGGGCTCTGTATCTGCAAATTTGCTTTCCTCCCGCCCTGAGGTCCTTGGATTACACAAGCGACTTCTTTTACTTCTCTCCCCTGTAGCCCCAGCCTGCCCCAGGGAAGAGCTGAAGTCTGCATCGGGCTATTCTGCCTTTCTGCTGCCCCCAGCTGGTGAAGTGGAGAAACGGACAACTGGCTTCCATGGCCAGGCAATCCTGCCTTTCCTGGAGATGGCTGGAAGGCTTTGGGGTGCTGGCATGCACGCAGGTGTGAATCTCTTTCATGTCGAAACAGCAGTAAAGTCCTCCTCAGCACCCAACTGACCCTGGCTCCTCTCAGTTCCCGAGGGTCCACCAGAGCTTCTCAGCACATGGTATGACAATTTTTTTTTTTTTTAAAGCAGTACTGGGGATTGAAATCAAGACTTTCAGCTTGCTAGGCAGGTGCTCTATCACTTGAGCCACACCCCCAGCCCTCTTGGCTGTAGTTATTTTTCAGAAAGGGTATCACTCCTTTGCACTGGGCCAGTCTTGGACTGTGATCCTTCTGCCTCTACCTCCTGTGTGGCTCGGATTATAGATGTGCATCACCATGCCTGACCCTCTAGACTGAGCTGCTCAGGGTAGGAGTCACCTATTCATTTGTGTGCTTGACAAACATTTATTGCGTGGCAGGTCCCATTCTGGGGCTTCCTGTATATGTACAGTTTAACTTTATGGCCACAGCCTGGGGCTGGACACAGATTCAGAGACAGTTTGCAGGCACAGGACGGACCACTGACAGGCAAATGGGGGAGGGGGTTGGAGTCCCTCCAGGACCTCTAGAATGCATGTGGAGGCAAGAGATGGTCCCACTCTGACCTGGCTCCAGGCTGCCCAAGGAAAAGTCCAAGGGACAGAGACAGAGGGGAGCCAGTCTCTGAGTAGCCGGGGCCAGAGCCCAGCTCAGCTGTTGGCAGTGATCGACTCATCTGCGTTTCTTGAGCCCATCAGTAAAGCCCAGGAGTGGGTAGCATAGCTGGGCCAAGTGACCCAAGGACTCTAGAGTTGTTACTGGGAATCTGTGAGGACAGCCTCAAGGCCATGGCTTCTACCATTCCAGTCACGGTCCCTGTGGGAAGGCCAGAGAAACCAGGAATATGACCCTGCGACATCAGGAGCAGGTGCCTTTGTATCTGTTTCCATTCAGGCCAGGACTGTGTGGAAGAAAAATGTCTCAAGAATGTGCCTGTACTCAGGAAGCGTCACTACGGAGAAAGTGCTGGGTGCGGCCAGCCAGAGTCAAAGGCCCCAGGTCTGCCAGCCTCGCTCTGTGCCTCAGATGAATCCCAGCTGTCACCTGGGCGCCCAGCTCCTTTGGCTTTGAGCCCAATCCAAGTCAGGTGTCCTGATCATTCCCTGCCTCCTAACCCCATTAAGCAGCTTCTGGTCAGGCCTCAGAGGCTGCCTGGGTATACCTGTCATCAGGAGGGATATGTTGGGTAAGGTATCATCAACCTTGACACATCTAGAGTCTCAGAAAGCCTCACGGCTCCTGGAAGTGGAGGCCATGAGTTGCATCACGAACCCCCATGCAGCTGGCATGCCTTTGTGATGGCCTGCTGGCAGAGCCCAGATGACAGCTGTCAGCTCAGTCAGGTATCCTCAGTCCGGGCCCTGCTCCGCTTCTAAGGGGCTTTTCCCACCCAAAACACCCCTGGGCTCACGGCTAATTAGTTCCTGGTCAACCTGGCTGACAGATCAGTCAACATGTGGAGAAATCAGGGCTCTGTTCCCTCCTTCTCACTGCCAGTGACACCACTTCACTTCCTGGTCTATGGTTCTGCTGACAACCCTTGTGGCAGTGCCAGCTCCCAAGCTCAGGCCACTCCTCCTCCTGCTGTGCCAATCCCTGGATTGCCCGACTTTCTCCCCACGTCATGTCCCCACTTTTTTTTTTTTTTCTGCAGCACTGGGGTTTGAACTCAGGTCATACACCTTGAGCCATTCCACCAGTCCTTTTTTGTGATGGCTTTTTTCAAGATAGGACCTCTTGAACTGTTCATCTGGGCTGGCTTCAAACCATGATCCTCCTGATCTCTGCCTCCTGAGTAGCTGGGATTACAGGTGTGAGCCACTGATGCCCAGCTAGGACCTCACTCTTGATTCACCAGGCATGGGCTGTTGGCCTGATGCGATCCTGGTCCCTCTCACCTCTTTGCCAGCACACCATTCGTTGCCAATATTCAAATCTCCATGCTGTCTTCCCCAGGCAGATCACAAAAAAGTCATACGCTGTGGGCAGGTTGGAGGCTGGTTCTTTATACAAGGTAACTGACACAGTGGCCCACCAGATACAGCTGCAGGTCACCATAGCCAGACAGGAGAGTTGACATGGGGACAGCTGCAGCGAGACTCACTGCACAGGGACACACGGACACTACAAAACCAAGACAGGAAGGAAGGGTGGGCCCAGCAAGAGCCATCAGCAGCCACCGACAACCCTGCCCTTCCCTCCCATGTCCTGGGAGGATCCAGGCTTGGAGCTAATGAGCCCAGCTGTGCTGTCACAGCCTCGATACGGCATGTCATCTGAGTGTCTCACTTTTCATATCTGAAAACTGGGCCAATAAACTGTATGTGAGCAAAAATAAGGTGGCAACAGGGACAGTAATCCAAATCTCAACAGAGCCTGGCACACAGGTGTTAAATAAATAAATCTTGTCAACAGAATCCTTGCTCAGACAGGACGTTCCTTGGGAGACCAAGGTGTGCGACGCCTTCCCCAGAGACTCCCTCAGGGCATGGGGACCCTGGAGGACTCCTTGGAGCTTGAAGCCCCTGGGGTGCCAGACACCCCGGAATGTACTGTGCCAGGGTAGCTGACGGGGGCCGGGGTCTGCACCCCCTGGGAAGTACCTGCGGAAGCTGGGTACACACTGGAGGAGTTAGGGTTCGGACCGAAATGGTTCTGCACGTAACAGAGGCCGGAGGCAGGCTGGTATGGAGGCAGGCTTGGCGTGTGGCCAGGAGCGCAGGCTGGCCAGGAGGCTAGCTTCTGGCCGCTGGCATGCTGCATCTGGGTGACAGGGTAGCTTGGGGACAGGTGAGGGTGGCAGCTCTGGGTGGGGTAGGAGCCAGGTGCAGGGTTCAGCCTGGAATGGAACAAGAGAGAAAACAGTCAGTCCGCTAGAAGTGACAAGGTACACCCTGTCACTCCTCAGCGGAGCGTGGTGGGGCTGTGGCCCAGCTCTTACTGCGGTTGCTTTGGACACTTCCAGTCACAGCTCTGGCTTCCCTGTGAGAAGAAAGATGGCCCAAACTGATCAGAAAACAGACGCCCAGAGGACAAGCCACTGGCACCAAGGGACACTCACCAGTGTGAGCACGAGCAGTTGTGTGGCCTTCTCACAACTCACCAAGGAGGTAAAGGCTTGGGACCAGGTCATGACAGGCAGCACACGCACTGTGACTGGCTCAGCCATTGCACCCAAAGAGAATGGCTTGGAGCAAAGCAAGGTTTGTGCCACAGCAACTGCTGAAACTTTCTACCTGTGGCTCAGGCGTGAACATCCCCTGGCTGGTAGGAGCTAGTGTGACAGATGGGGAACCTCCTGTGCTGAAGTTATGGCCAGGCATGGTGATGTACATCTGTAATCCTAGCACCAAGGAGACTAAGGTAGGAGGATCATCACTTCCAGGCCAGCCTGGGTCACATGGCAAGACCCTGTCTCAAACAACAAAAAGCCAGAGACCAGTGACTCATGTCTATAATCCTAGCTACTTGGAAGGCTGAGCTCTGGAGGATTGTGGTTCAAGGCCAGCCTGGACAAATAGTTCAAGAAGACCCCCATCTCCAAAATAACTGGAATGCCAGGCACCAGTGGTTCACACCTATAATCCTAGCTACTCAGGAGGCAGAGATCAGGAGGACTGAGGATCGAAGCCAGCCTGCCACATAGTTTGAGAGACCCTATCTTGAAAAAAAAAAAAACCTTCACAAAAATAGGGCTAGTAGAGTGGCTCAAGGTTTAGGTAGGGCCTGAGTTCAAACCCCAGTACTGCAAAAAAAAAAAAAATAAATAAATAAATAAAATAAAATACACAAAATAACCAAAGCAAAATGAACTGGAGGTATGGCTCAAGTGGTAGAACAGAGTCCCAGTCCCACCAAACAAATAAAACCGCTAAACAACAACGACAAGTCCAGCACAGATGACATGCACACTGTTTTGTCCTCTGTTTTGTCAAGGTCCAAGT